TGCCAATTTGTTACCAGCTGCCAAGCAGCCGCCCTGGCCCAGGTTCTAGGCGCCCGGAAAAGCAGGCACCCTTCATCTCTGGGAGCTGTCTCCAAACAAGACAGAACCATCTAGCCTCCAGCCAAGAAAGTTGGCTGAGCGCTTGGAGACAGTCCCAGGATGCCCTGGACCATCAGGAGTAGCAGGAGAGCCAGAGAGCCAAGCTCAGCCTTTTGCAAAAGAGTCTTGGGCCCCATTGTCTGGAAAAGAAATAAATAGATGGGTGATCGGCCTGTGAGAACAGTACTGCCATGGGACGTGGGAGGCCTAGCCATGGCCCAGGGCTAGCCTCTACTCCCTCTGGCCTATCAAACAATGAGATGAATGTCGGGGTATCTGTGGTCACCCAGATATAGCCACTCGGCTACTTGAACCCCACAAGACAGCACAACCAATAACATGACCTCTTGGGTAATCAAAGACAGGGTCTGGGTGAGTCAGGCTCATGGCTGACAACAGGAAGATGTGATCAGCCCAGAGGAGGCCTCTCTACCCAAGAACTGTCTACATGGGAGCCCCTCCCAGCCCTGTGGAGCCATCTTGCCCAGTGAGTGGGTCACAGGCCAGTGCTTCTTCTGGAGGATTTGGACTTATACCAGGCAGCCCAGCCCCAGGCTCCTATCCTGGGTTCCCAGACCTTGGGCAAGCCATTCTTCTGAGCCTCATCTCAACTGATTGGGACTGTCTTGAAGGACCCAGCCTGGGGTAAACACGAGCGAAATACCCTGAGGCTGGGTACAGCCAATACCCTTTTATACAATCTCCTAGAAATGCCATGGCTGTCACCAGAAGCCCTTGCTGTGGTGTTTAGCCTCTTGTCTGTGTGCTTGATGTAGTTAGGGACTTACGTCCATGCACCACAGATGTACTTGTGACCTTGGCTTGGTATCCTCAGCTCTGGGCCATGTCAGGATGAAAGTAGTTCTAGAGGCTGGCCTTGGTATCCTGGGTCACAAGTGCAGAGTCTCATAAGCCCAGTAGTGATGTGGACACAAGCCCTGTGCCTCAAACATCTGTCAGAATGCCCCCCATCCCACCACACTGCAATCAAAGAACACTCCCCCCATGGAGAATAAAGGAAGCTGTGGATACCCAGTTGGGGCCTTTGTGTATGCATCCATCCGCACACCCAACCATTCATTGAACACATGGGCTTTTATCTGCCTCTGATAAGCTATGGGTGGGGGTCATATCTCCTAAAGACTGCAAGGATCCTGGCCACCTCCCTGTCCACCTTCCTGAAGAGTTAAAAGTCCCCCTGACACACACCTGCTGCCAGGCTTCACACTTGTTCTCAGCAGACACAGCTTTAATCTCTGGTTAAACTTCAAAAAATAAAATTTTGTGATTTTTTTAGACAATATAATTTTCCTCAGATTTAAGATGTCTACTTCCAGAATGAGGAAAAAGGGAGCAATGTTTCCAGGCTTTCACTCAAATGTCAAGTGGCCCAAGCTGAGCGGAGCTGCCTTCAGATGTCAGATAGGCAATGAAAACGGTGACAGCATGAAGACGGCAATGATGATGAAGTTGAGCATGAACACTCTCCAGTCTGCCTCTAGGAAGGGAGACTCAACTTAAAGCCCACAGGACCCCTTCCCCCAGCCTCAGCAGCTGCCGCCCCCCTGCCTGTCGCTCAGACTTCCCATCCCCCAGGCACTTGGCCCCCTGGGGTGAGCTGCACTACCACCAGCCTGCCTGGATCGACTCTCTCTGCCTGTTTTAGTTGGGTTGCTGTTGCTGTGTGAAACACCAGGACCAAATGCAACTTGTGGAGAAAGGATTTCTCACCCACAGCTCCTATCACTGTTCACCGTCAAAAGCAGCGAGGCCAGGCACTCACGCAGGGCAGGAACCTGGGGGCAGAGCTGATGCAGAGGCCATGGAGGGTGCTGCTTACTGGCTTGTTCCATATGGCTTGCTCAGCCTGCTTTCTTATGGAACCCAGGACCAGCACTCCATGGGTGGCCCCACAGGCAATGGGCTGGGCCCTCCCCCATCAATCACTAATTAATAAAATGCTCCATAGGCTGCCCACAGCCCGACTTTATGAAGGGATTTTCTCAATGGAGGTTTCCTCCTCTCAGATGACTATTTCTGTCAAGTTGACATGAATCTAGTCAGTACATAATCCACACAGTGTTTCTGCCACAGAAGCTGCTTTTTAACCTGTCCAGCTCCCTCCATCTTCCTGCTCCTTGATGAGAGAGAAAAGTTGCCTTCTTCTCAGGTTGAGCAATATGGGAGACCAGTGGCATGATGAGTACCTGACAGGTAGAGATGAGAATTGTGTCCACTTGCTTAACTATTGGATGGGGTAGGTAGTTACATGCATGTATGTCCGGCACACACGCTTTAAATAAACTGAAGACCCAGGGCCACTGGCCTTGCTGCCACCCTGCCCAGCGCCCACTTAGATGCTCTCTGGACTGGGGTATGCCCTGCCTCATCCCCTTTCTACCCCACCTCTGCTCCCTTTACCACTCACACTCCAGCCCTGACCAGCCACCAGGGCAGAGGCAGGGCCCCGTCTACTATGAAGTTCTTCTGCCAGGCATGAAGAGAAGTCTGCATCAGAGCCCCCAGGGTCTCTTCCCCTTCTCCCAGAGTCTTCAAAGGGCCTCATATCCTCAGAAACATGTAAGTCTGATGGCATCGGCCTCCCAGCCCTACCTTGCCCTGCAGAACCAGGAGCCCAGACCTAGGAATCTGCTCTCTTAAAAACTGCTCTGATGGAATTCTTCCTGAAATCCAAGAGTCACTATGTCCTCCCCAGCCTTTCATTCATTCATTCATTCATTCATTCATTCACTCACTCATCTATCTGGCTTCCTCAGACTGACCCTGTCCCCTTTCTGATGACGGCGTGAGGCTCCCACGTACAGCAAAGTCCTTCAACTTCCTCTCACAGGTATGCGGACCTGGCTGGCATACAGACCCAAGAGACAGGCACAAACACCAAAGGAATGAAATACTAATGGGATTGCAGGCTGGTCATGAAAGTGAGATTGGGGAAAACCAGCTTGTAACCTTGACCCTGACCACTCACTACTGCCCCTCCCACTGAGCCTGCAATCCTAGCAAAGCCCCTCCCAGCTCTGATCATGTGAGTGTGTCTCCCATTCTGTGACCTGGACAGAGGAGGAGACTGCCAGCTCCATCGCCATTGCTAGGCAACAGGACAGGACTAGGGAGCGAAGCCTATGTTCTAAACACATTTGAAAGAAGAAAGAATGCCAAGCTTCCTGTGTCTGTGCGGCTCCCCTCCCCAATGCTCCCTTCCCCCACCACTCCCTGAAATTATGATCTGAATTCCAGTTTTTATCAAAACACCATGGAAACCATGTCCAGGCTGAGTTTGTGAAAGAATGACGCTGCGTGGAAGGAGTGGGCAGGGAACCCGAGTCAGAGGAACAGGAAAGGAGCACGCAAGAGGCAGAGAGGACAGAGGCGGGGAGGACAGAGGTGGGGAGGACAGAGGTGGGCTGCCCTGGGATAGAGGAGGCTGTTGGCACCTGCCAAGTAAGTGAAGAAGCCTCTACAGCACAGGCACAGCACACACACACACACACACACACACACTCACACACACATAGAAACATCCACACACACCATGCATACTCACACACCATATACACACACCATACACCTTCATACACACATAGAAACATACACACACACACACACACACACACACACACACACACACACACACACACACTCTCACTCTCTACACAGTCACATCATACACACTCACATAGAAACATCCACACACACCATGCACTCATACACACATAGAAACATGCACACACATCATACACACTCACACACATAGAAACATACACACACATCATACACACTCACACACACACACATAGAAACATGTATACACACACCATACACACACACACACATAGAAACATGTATACACACACCATACACACACACACACATAGAAACATGTATACACACACCATACACACACACACACATAGAAACATGTATACACACACCATACACACTCACATAGAAACATCCACACACACCATACACTCACACACATGGAAACATGTATACATACACCATACACTCACACACATAGAAACATGTATACACACACCATACACACTCACATAGAAACATCCACACACACCATACACTCACACACATGGAAACATGTATACATACACCATACACTCACACACATAGAAACATGTACACACAACAGCTGTGCATACTGTGTGAGAATACATACTTACATGAAAACCTAACCACACCATAGACGAGAGTGCACACACATAGATGCACATACCAAACACAGCAACAGGGGTGCATACCTGATGCACGCATACACACACATGTATACACACCTGTCCTGTGCATGGCCTTCAGTCCACCTCATTCCTCAGGGCTGTGATACTTGCTGTTTCTGGTCTTGCTGGTTCAATAATGAGATAATCAGAATCTGTTCTGGGGTGCCTGGGAAACCCTTAGCCAGGCCCAGAAGTACCAGATTCCCAGCTTGAAGCAAAAACCCTGTTATCTTAGCCCTCAATCTGGCTGAGGATCAGGTGACAACTAGGTCGGATCCTCAATAAGAGGGAAAGAAGCCCAGCTCCTGACATGAACTCCTCTGCAGCCATCACTTACACCCATTGGCAAATGGTGTCTGGAGACAACTTACTTCCTTGAAAGCAGTCACTCAGTACAGACCACTGACCAGCTGTCCAGTGAGGTGCTAGCGTCTATCCCTGCACAGGGCACCTCCCTTCCTATACTTCTTCCCCACTTCTTTCTTCCTGTGGAATAAATAAAGTTCAAACCTTGGTCTCAGAGCTATTTGCTGTAGGAAAATGAGGCAGAAATACTCCACATGGCCACAAGATAGGAGGGAGCAAGAAGAGGTTAAGGCAGAAGAGAAAGAGCCAAAATCCAGCGAGGAGGAGAGTAGGAAAAGCTACCTGGGGACGACCTGGGAGATGGAGGGCATCGTGGAGGCCAGCAGAGGGAGAGCTCCTCTAATCACTCAGGATTCTTCTGCCTCCAAGACCAGGCTCACGGTCTGGGTTCAGCCTTCAGGACCTCCAGGAGTTATCTCCTCCTGCATATTATGAAAGCACAAAATGGTAAGGCGTTAAGCTCTGCGTAGGTACCCTCACAACAAAAAGATCCTCTTTTACCTCTCCTGAACCTTTTACTGATGGCGAAACTGAGGCCTAGAAAGGGGAAATGGCTGGCCTAGGGTACCAGAGATGTCAGTAGGCTTTAGACCAAGGACTAAAACCAGGGTCCTTCCCCCGACCTAGACAGGAGCTGAGTCTGAATATGCACACCTCTCCAGATGGGGCAGAGATTCTCCAGCTTTCACACACCACAGTGCTGGGGTCCCAGCAATCCAGACCCAGCTAGCTCACAAGAGTTTGTGAATAAGGCCACTCAGCCATTGCTGCTCTGGCAGACAACAGAAAGAATTCAAACTCACAAACCTACAGCTGCAATTTAGGTGCCCAGCAGGGTCCTGTCTGCCCAAGTACAGTGGAGCTCAGCCCCCAGGAAGGGAATCAAATGCCACCACTCTCCCGTGGGGACAGAGGTGTTTGTAGAATATTATTTTAACTAGGCAAAGATGTGTTACACTTTCTTATGCCTCAGGAGATTACTTTAACTGTGTTGGGGCATGTTACTTTTGTTTATGCTGCATTTGTTTAACTATGGAAGGATGTGTGTTTAATTACATAAAGATGTGTCATATCTGTTTTACCTCGCCTGCTTAGGGTACCTGGTTGGTCTAATAAAGAGCTGAATGGACAATAGTTATGCAGGAGAGGGACAGGCAGGGCTGCCAGGCAGAGAGAATAAATAGGAGGAGGAATCTAGGCTTGGGACAAAAGGAACAAGAGAAGAAGGAAGAAGAGAATGAGGGAGACACCCATGACAAGGAGCCAGGCAGCCACCAGCCAGCCATAGAGAAGCTGTGAAAATAAGATAATCAAAAGAAAGGTAATAAGCCCTAAGGCAAAAGGTAAGGAGAAACAAATTAATTTAAGTTAAAAGAGCTAGTCAGAAACATGCCTAAGCTATGCCGAGCATTCAAAACTAATAAGTCTCTGTCATGATTTGGGAGCTGGTTGGTGGCTTGAATGAAAAAGCCTGGAACACAGAGGGAAAGAGGATGCCCTGGAGATTTTAAACAAGGGAGGCCTTGGAGTGTGCTCCTCACCATTCTTCTCTGGTCTGTTTAAACACAGACTCTATGATCCAGGTTGGTCTTGGAAAAAGACAGTCCCTTTTCAGAGCATCTGGGAACACCCAGATGGTGGCAGGATACTCTATAGATAAGCTGAGCCACAGGCTCTGAGCAGGAGGAACTGGCTGTGCAGAGTGGGTTTCCAGGAAACTTCCCCCAGGGAAGTTCAGGAGCACAGACACACGACTCTACCCCCGCCTTGTTTCCTGACATACAAGCCATTGGACCTTCATCTAAGATGTTAGCTCCCCACAACCCTACCCCCATTTCCATGCAATCTCAAGAGGTACCCAAGTGGATGGAAGGTTAACTGAAGGGAATTACCTAGTATGCAGTTTTGAGGGGGTTGTCACCCAGGCTGGGTCACCCACGCTTCAGCAAATAATGCCTCATCCCTTCTTCTGTAAGTAAGCCCAACCAATAAACTCACTTATTCACCAGTTGGGTAAGCTTGGGTGGCATCGTTACCTGGTCTGCCATTGGTACCCACAGATATGTTTTTCTCATCTCCCCAGGAAAAGTTAATGCAACACTGCCCATGTTTTGATTCTCACAGGCTTTGAGGCCAGGATGGATATTGTCATAGGATCCTCAGTGGTCCCTGTAGGACTAAAGAACTCCAGCTGCAGAGGCCTCTAGTGGCCTTGCCACAGGCTCGGCAGTTTGCCTTGGCATTGCACAAGTTAACGAAGATTGCCCTGGCCCAGGCCGAGGGCACCCACATGCGGTAGCTAGTCTCAGTAGCTAGGAAAGTATTCTTGGCCTCTGTCCTACTTGAGCACTCTTCCCCAGCAGCCCAGACGCTCTGCCTTCCTGTAAGTTGACTCACAGACATTGCTCATGGATGTTTATGTAGCACTACTGCATGCCTTCTTCTGGGCACAGAGGTGCAAAGTTCAGCCCCTCACACAGAAGAGTCACATCCCCTGAAGAGATGAACCAGGGTGCATAGAGCAGCTAGTTTCCACGTCTCTGACTCCTTACTCCTAGGGAGGCAACCAAGAAGCCCCGGGTGAGAAGCTAATAAGCCCACAGACTTCTGTAACCAAAGGCTGAGACCGTGAGCAGGTGTGTGGGCTTCCAGAACCTGTGCCAGCTCTAATCCTGACCTCTATGTGGGCTGCTCTGCCAACTCCCACACAGAGGGTCTGGCACATGGGTAAGGAAGTAAGGAAGGACTGTGACCCATTGCACTCGGACCAGGTAGTACTCCAGCCTGGCACACAGTACCTGGAGCAAGTTCAGACTCATAGGCCTGTCCTGCATTGGAATTGCTGTCTCAGGGCATGCTTAGGGCCAGCCTAGATGGGAGGAGGATACGGGGGGAGATTTGGAGGAGGTGACTGCATTCTAGCAAACCCAGCAAGGGAATGGAAACAACCGTGTCTGGGGAAGCTGGAGAGGAACACTGCAGGTGAAGTTCCAGGATCCTTTCTCTGCTGACCTCTTTAGGACACTCTGTATCACGTCTCTGCGTGGGTGTTCATTCCCACCCATTACATGAAGGGCCTTGAAGACAGAACTGATCAACAAAGACCTGGTCCCTACTCTGAAGCCTGCCAGAGTATGGGGTGGTGGGTAAGCCAATTCCACCCAGGCTGGAGCAAGGCCAAGAGGACTTCCAGGAGAAAGTGGCTCAGAGCTGGGCCTCAAAGGGCTGTCAAATAAGGAAACGGAAGGTCCTACTTTTGAGGAACCTGCTTGACTGTGGTGGCATTCAGAGAAAGAGAAATTTGTGAATAGCCTGATGTGAGAGTCTGAGAGTTTAAGGGAAGGCAGCAAGAACAGAGAGCTAGACAAACAGCAGGACTTGGGGAAAAGCCACTAGGACCCCTACCCCATGGAGCAGCCTCATTCTTTAGGTAGCATGTGACGAAGGTGGCTTGAGGCTTGGGACTAAGCTAGGGAAGGAACAAGCAGACAAGGCAGAACACCCCTAAGTGCTGTCCACTTCTCTACCTGGCCAGATATTGGGGAGCCAAGCCCAAGCAGCCACCCCTTAGTAATATAAACATGTGAGGAGGTCAGTGCATTGACCTCCTCATCCCCAGCCACTAACCCTAACTGAAGGACCCTCCACCTTGGAGGTCATTGTGGTATGTGTGGCTAAGGGACAAAGGCAACAAGTCACTCTTCCAAACCCCAGTTTTGGCCTTTCATATATAGCCACCAGGTATAGCACTGTACTCAGGAGGCAGAGTCTCAGGAGTTCCAGGTCGACCTTGGCTACATAGGAAGGTTGGGGCCAACCTGGGTTACTTAAGATCCTGTATCAAAATAATAAGCAAATGAAAGGTGGGGTTTGGATCTGTGGGTAGAGTGACCCACAAGCACACGGACATGAGTTAGGATCTCTAACACCCACTTTTTTTGCCAGAAGCAATGTGGCATGTGTCTGTAAACCCAGCACTGAGTAAGCAGAGACGGGGGAATCCCAGAGGCTTGCTGGCCAGCCACTCTAGCCAAGGCTAGAGGTTCAGTAAGAGACCTTGCTGCAAAAAGGTAAAATATAGCCTGGTATGGTAGCACATACCTTTAATCCTAGCACTCAGGAAATGAGGGTAGGTGGGTCTCTATGAGTTGAGGCCAGCCTATTCTCCTCAGAGTTCAGGCTAACTAGGGCTATTCAGTAAGAAAGACCTGTTCTCAACACACACACACACACACACACACACACACACACACACACACACACACACACACGTGCACGCACGCACGCAGGAAGATATATATGATGGAGGGCTGGAGAGAGGGTCCATCATCTCTGTCAGGTAGCTCACAACCACCTATATATAACTTCAGCTCCTGGGGGACCTGATGCCTCTAGCCTAGTGAGCACAGTCACTCATGTGCCCAGACCCGCACACATATACACATACATGTAAATAAAAATAATAAAATCCTTTTAAAAATAAGGTGGAAGGCCTATCAAGGAAGATAACACACACACACACACACACACACACACACACAAAAGAGAGGGGGGAACAGAGACAGAGAGAGAGAGAGAGAGAGAGAGAGAGAGAGAGAGAGAGAGAGAATAAAAGCATTTTTTCTGCTCAAGGCTGAAAGGCGGAGACTTGCTCCAAATCTGCAGTCTGCACAAGAGATACACACTTTCATAGTCCAGGTGACAAGATGATCACTCGCCAAGCAGGATGTGCTTCCTGGCTCAAGTGGCATTCAGACAGGAGACAAACATGTTTCCAATATTCTGGCTCACCCGCCTTCTAACGAGCTTGTGTAAGGAGAAAGGGAATCCAGGCAAACTTACCCCATTGTCAGGTACAGCCCAGCGAAGCAGCCAAGCTCCAGCTGTGATTGCCTGCAAGCAGACCAGGCAGTGCCTGGTGGTACTTAATGGATACTCGGACCTATTGATCAAATGAATGAAAGAAAGGCCACCTCCTTTGCCAGTGCTGGAGATGGAAAGGCTGGGCAGTTTTATCAATATCTCTGCCCACACACAACCTGGAGGTGTGTGCCTAACGTGGGGTTGGTAATCAGAGAACCAGAGTTCTACTTCTGTCCCTGGCATTCCCTAGCCCAGGAGAGAGGGACATCCAAAGCCTCCGTAATGATCTCTGGGTGGACATTTGTGTCTTTAAGCTACCTCTGCCTGCTCAGCTCTGAGTAGCGCAGACAGCAAGGCCACACACAGTCAGCCACACACTTGGATCTGGCAGCTCCTGCTGCAGACAGGGATGGAGAGATCCCCAGGGCAGCAGCAGGCCCGGGTGTTCCAGTTTGGAACTGGTGGAAATAGGGAAGCAGGTAAGAGTTCAAGTTTTCTGCCCTGGTCATTTCTCCCCAAAGCCCTGGTTACACCTCAGGACGACACTCATGTGTTATGG